ACGTGATTCATCCTATTCTATGTGATTCGGTCTAATTGTAATCATATTACTCTGACGGGTTTTTGTCTGCAGTAGTGAGAAACTAGACCCCATGGCTCAGTAGGGCTTTTCATATTTCTGATAAATGTAACCTTCGGTAGTTTTCCGTCTGTCGTAGTGAGCAGCCAGATGGTATAATGCGCTGAGGAATGGCAACGAAAAGACAAGGGAGACGAGACAAAGTAGTCCCTGTCTTTTCCGGTAATGTTCATGTCCGCTGTGCGGCTGTTGGTGGGGCTCGAGAGTGAGCCTCAAGGCAGAACGGGCCGAATGATTTTCGGTAGCGATCGGTACACCTTCATCAACGAACGAATATAGTACACTGTGGAGACTGTCTGCTCTCTCCCTCTCTGGCCTGCTAGGATATATGAATATGATCATGAATAAGAGGGATTGCCTGCTATATCGCCTGACTAGTTACAATGGCAGATGGCGAATAGTCTTAAGCTATTATGATTAGAATATAATATGGGAGTTGACAGATTTGAATAAATAATTTGACCCGCCTGTGAAAGACTCCGCGGCCTCGGTCGGATTTGAACCCATGACAACATGGAGAAGACTTTAGTACAGCTAACAATCTAACCACCTAAGGGTCGAACCCCCATCAGGCTCGTAAAGTGACTTACTCCAGTCACTTTCACGCTACCGCATCCTTGAATTTTAACCAAAATATGAGCTAATTGAATTGAATCAGTTGTGGATCCCAAGTTTGGGAACTCCTTATAAGATATCTCAATAATCTGGCATATTACGTGGATATTATGTTATTTTTTGTTCCTAACGTCTAAACCGTTGAGATACATCTCTTGTCACTTTGCTTTTGATTTGCGAAGAATGCATCTCTGTTACTTTTCCATTTTTGAATCGTTTGATAACATGTTGGCTGAAGAATTATTTTCCTTATACATTTCCATCTTTAAGTCTGTCCTTAATGTTATGTAAATTTCATGAAAACTAGGTCATTCAGTGGAGGTAAGCGAAACAGCATTATGTTCGAGTTTGGTTTGTTTTGTTTTTTGTCTGAAAACCAACCAGAAAACGGTGGTATTTATTGACGTTTCTGAGTAATTTGGTCCATGACTATTTACTTCAATGCATTGTAGGGCTATGTTGCACGCTGGCTTGGCACAAAGTTTATGCTCTATGGAGGCTCCGATGAGAATATCCTCAAAATAATCGACAAAAGCACTCTCAACGTGAGTTGCCTATCCTCCCTCTGCTCCTCCGACTTAATTATCACTCAAGCTTTTATACATTTTTCCTACGAAATAGACGTAACAAGGGAAGGTGGGGTTCTAACAATTTGGTCGGACACTTAATGACGTGCATTGTTTTGGGATATTTGGCATTTAAACAACATTATTTGCATGGCTGCATATCGTCCTTGACCTACGAACTGGTCGCTGGCTGTAACGACCCGAACACATCGGGCGCTACCCGGTCTCGCTATAGTTCGTCTACCAGTCTCCTGATGATTCTGACTAAATTTATGCAATAAATGAACAGGTTGACCTCAAGAGCGTTGATGCCGAGAACATGGCCAACACGGGGGGGGGAGTTCGAACAAATTACCTAATTGGCTTTGCAAGACTGATTATCGCGCAGCCTTATCTCAAGATGTTGCAGTCACATCAGAATGGGAGTTTTTGAATGAACTTATTCCTGATTAAATGCAAAAACCATACCCTGTGTGAAGGTGCTACTTAAATAGTATGTGTCTTTCTCATTGATTTTTAACGCTATAGTAAGTTCAAATATATATGATATAGAAAAATTGCACAAAGTATCTGCTCTTGTACTCATTTGGCAGAAAATGCCACCGTAAAATTTCCTCTTCGACAAAAGAGTATTTTTGGTTGTAAAAAGTTTATAATTAGGAGATATTGAAAGACCATTAAATGTTCATACATAATACCTCGCTTCTATCCAACTGTAAATTTTGCCTACAGAGTATACAAACTGAGGCGTATCCACTGCGAAATGTTAGGGGAGCTATGTGATCCTTTCCGCATGGCGTAGAGGAATGTGGGATTTTTCTTAGACAGAATGTATACAGCATATGGTTTAGAAACCTTAAACTAACGTAAAACGGCCGTTGGGGTTCAACGTTATTCAGTGCCCTGGACGGCTTTTTTAAACCGAAAAATGTTCCTTTTTAAGTAAAAAAGTTGAGGAAGCCGTAACTTACTACCAACTGAGTTCAAGAGAGAATGCTTCTGTGTACTTTTTTATATAAAATATCTATTGGTTTTATGAGGACACTGAAAATTAATGAGAGGCATGCATACTACTTAAGTAGCCACTTTTACAGAGTAAGCTTTTGGCAAGTGGTTAGAAAGCAGTTCATTCAAAAGCTGACATCCTTACATGGTTGAAATGTATTGAGCTGAGATTGTGCAATAATCAGTAATAATTGTGAAGAAAAAGATGTGGCCACTAGGACGAAAACTATATTCCCTATGTTTCGAAATTCATCAAAAATTCTTCATCAGAAACATCAAAAACGCATAATTCATGCACAGCGCGTTGCAGTATTCATAGGCTACTACATAATTATGACAATTAGCAACTCTCCTGTCGAGGATAATCGTCTGCTTGAGCGCTAATGGCTTGATGACCGGCATGCGGGCCATGATCTGCTGAAATTTAATCACATGTGGTAGAATTGGACATGAGGATTGATCGGCCATCTGGTTCCCCGGTGTTGGCGTTGAGGTCACGCATACACCAAAGTTCACTGTGAGCGACCGGGTTATTAATAATCCCAAGTTGTTGCGCATATATTCGACACGAGACAGGAGTTCAATTCCGAAGCGCCGTGATGACTCCCACCAAGGCTGCAAGTTTTTCACAATTGGGTCAACTGACTTGTCGGTTAAGTTCTTCTGTCTGGACTACTAGCCCCCGCCTGTGGTTGTTGAAGGAGTCAAAAGGCAGAACAGGATGATTAAGTCCTGTGACTGGCCAGTAAGCGTAAATCCATCAAAGATATGGAATAAGTAGACCAAAGCAATCCTCACAGATCCTATGAATGGTGGGAAATAAAGAAAATAATAAACCAAATATTCCGCTGATCCACCAGCCTTCTTATTTACTGCAAAAGCACCTGGAACTCGAATCTTTCCATTCATTCATAAAGAAAACCCTATAAGTACAGTCAGCGATCACAACCAACCGGGATGGGAACCACAGCAGACGCGTCTCCATCTCTCTCGGATCTACCCATTGATAGCTCTGCTACGAAGACAGGTTACCGTCCCCCGGTCGTTTTGGGTGGCTATCCACCTCCGATTGCGGCCTCAGAAAAACATCTCCCGAGGGTCACTCGCTGTACTCTGGCTCAACTGCGCAGTGGCTA